CATAAAGCTATATCTGATTTCTGGACTACTTGACAAGCTGGGAGGTCACATTTCTTATTTCCAGCTTTTGGTGTACACTGAGAATGATGTTTTGAAACTTTGCCCAATACACTACCCAGAGGAAAATGTTATCGGCTCATTTTGTTAAATATAGAAAAGACATAGCATTCAAAGATTGGTGGTGACCTAATTACGCAAGTAGACCCCACTTTAAACAGTTAATATGGCAGAGAGAACACAAATAAACAGAGAGTTAACAAAGCAAGTCACCACAGCATTAAGTTCTAAAGTTCTATATGTCTCTCAGAAAATTGACAGCACAAATAAATATACAAAACATGACCTCTTTTTTGAATGCATCCAGAGGTCCTCCAATCTACAAATTAATTTATAGTACAGTCAGCTCACATCTCTTTCTGCTTCTGATTATCCAAGTTCAATGCTCTCGTCTGTTCACCCTATTTGTTGTTGTGAGAAACTACTTTCTCTATCATCTTCAACAGTTCAGATTTATCAGTTTCTAACCTACCAGTTGATTTCTGTTTCTACTATCTTATAACATGGGATTGGAAAATAAATAGAACACCTACAGTCCCCCTCACAGACACACACACACACACACACATTTTCATTGATCTTCCGGTTTCCCCTCTTCCTCTAGCTGCTGTCTTTCTTTCCTAAGGTTCTAACTTCCAATAAAACCTTAGCACATAAATTTTCCTCCCACTATTTTCTAAAGAAGCTATCATAAAACACAGCATCCATTCTTCCACTGATAGAAATGTAAGCTTTGCTTTTTTTTATATGTTTTGTAGATGTCAGTGAATTTCTTTTATCAGTTATTTCAGCTTTTTATCCTTTCACTATAAACTTTCCTGAAATCCATCTCTTATTTATACTGCCTCGATGTGGGCCATCTTCATTTCTGTCCTGGCTAATAGTATCAAGCTATCTTTTGCTCTACTAGTCTCCCATTTCTTCTCTGATTAGCCCTCATGCAATGCTCATAGTGATTTTTCTAAAGCATAAATGAGCATAACATTTTAATTGATTTAACTCTTTCAATTGTTCTAGACAAACTTTTATCTTCAAGATATGTTCAAGGGGCTCTGCCCCTCTTTTGATTAGTCTGCATTTTCAAGTCAATGCTCACACTACTAGGACATCTCATTGCTTTACTCTAGTTAAATCCTATTTTTTGTTTACAGTAACACTTTTTGACATACTTGGTGTCATAAACATTTTGATCTTCTGGAAAAAATAAGGAAATACTGTATTTGCAAAGGAATCGTATGCACTGACATTGGGTAATTTGTTGGAGAGGAACAGCCTTCTGCCCGTAAATCTACAAATTCACATCCACTAGTTACTCCTGAATGAAGGTGCCACCTGGTGCTAAGCTAATTTTTTAAACGCTACTGCCTGTTATATAATGGGCACACAATACCCCATTTCTCAAGTGAGTGAAATAATTAAGTTTATTTGACCTCTTGGATACTCGAGAACACAAGATACACATAGAAAAAACTATTTTATAAATGGAGGAAGGGATCTTGCATTGGCAGGCATCTTGGCTCAATGATAGCCTAGAGCAAGGATGTGCTTTACCTTGATAACAAGTATTGAAACATGTGCTTCAGTTTGGGTGCAATGCAAATGAAATGAAAGTAGCTCTTACTTTCTTTTCTTATTTTTAGGATGATTTTCAGTTACTAAAATACAATAATTTACATTGAATAAATATCAAAGCCACTTTTGACAAGAAATCTCAGAATGGCTTCCACTAAAAAATATGTCTAATAGGTAAGATATGAGAGAATCCAACTTAACCATAGTTCAACTTGCCACATTATGAGATTATTAAATTTGGATAATTCTTTTAAGTGGCTACCTAAAACCATACTTTTCCACTTGGAAGGCAAATAAACAGTTTTAAGTTTTGTCTTTTACAACTGACACCACACTCTATATTAGACTTGAGAAGCAGATCTAGGCTGAAAGTTTTTGTTGAATATGTTTTCCAATGCTTGTTCTAGTAGTGAGTTCTTATTTCTAAAGCTGTTGTGGGTCTTCTGTGAGGACTTGTAAAAAGAAATGGATTGTATTGTTAATTGGAAATAGAGAAAATGTAAATTAGACAAGTGAGTGTGTTTTACTGTTCCATTTTTTATAGATTTGTACAGCTGTCAAAAGCCAAATCTTTATAAGTGATGAGCTTTCTTTGTTCAAATAATAAATAACCAAACTTTCAGATACTCATCTTATTTCTCATGAAGTTACTTATAAACCTCTTCATTATGATATTCCCTTAGTTCTCTATTTCATGTCCCAAAGTATTATTTCTAATGACTGCTTTAAGAGTGGGTGAGGGAAGAATGCTTTGGAGACAAGATTTAATAATTTTCCAGAAACAAAAATCTCCTGACATTCTGCAGAAAAATAAAGGAAAATAGTAAAAACAATTAGGCTGGAGATGATGGCTTATGTTTGTAATCCCAGCACTAGGGAAATGGAGTCAGGAGGAACTAGAAATTGAGTGCACTCTGAGATACATAGTAAGACCTTGTTTATCAAAAAAGAAAAAAAACATATTTAAAGCTTTTAGTGTACTAATAACATCATTCAAAATAGATTCTTCAAGGGAAGAGGGCAAACTTTTCTAAATTTCTTCCATTAATAAACTCAAATCCCTGGACATAAAAATTAAAGCAATCATAACTTTAAAAAAGTTTTCAATGGAAACTATGAACATATTACAAAGAAATGAAAAATAGAAACCTTCAGCCAAATAGTCAAAGATGTGAATAAAAATAAATTTTATAAATAGAAAATAATGAAATAATTGAATATAATAACTGAATGGAAGTGCAGTGGAAAAGGACAGGGAAATAGGAAGATGAACTATAGAAATTATAAAATCTGAACAACAGAGAAATAGTCTTAAAACCAATCATTTAAATAAGAGAAAACTATTACACAATTTTTCTAAAGGTATTTATATCATTGTGTTGAAAATATACAGATAAACATTGTATTTTAATTAGGTAGTTATTTTGGTATTAAATTATTACTATTTAGTTTCATCCATGTTTTCCCTTACAAAGGGAAAATTGAAATGAGGACAAATAATAAGTAGTAAATAAATCAAGAATTTGAAGAAGTACTTGCTCCTGATATAGATTGTGGTGAGGGATTCCAAATGAGCAAAAAAATCTTCAAACTCATCAAGTATCATACTTTAAATATGTGCAAATTTTTGCATACCAATTTTACCTAAATATGTCCTCTGTAGAGTGAAAATGATACCATATTTTGGGAAAGATCCAATGTATATAAATAATCCTAAAGCAATTCCTCTCCTATTCTGTAATATAAACTAGGAACATTTTAATTATGTATCTCCCCTAAATTCTAAAGTGGGCATCTAATCACTTGGGTTACTTCTTACCCATGAAAATCCCACAGGATACATTAACTTAAAATTCCATGTTGGTATTTCTGCAAAATTGTGTATAAACTCTGGTTTTATAATCCTGTGTATACACACAGAAAACTGAACTTTAAAACTCCTTGGACCGTGACTACATTATTTTGGGCTATCTACTGCACCATTCCCAAGTTACCATAGACAGATTCTAATTCCTCAGGCTTTATTGTGATTTCAAAGGCAATTTTCTGTCAAGTTTCAATAATCTCACTGTATGGCCTTGAGAATAAATTTGCAAAATGATTGACAAATTGTATATGCCTGTCTGTAATGTGAAAAGATGGTTCTCTAGTATGGGCTAAAATCCACCTACTACATTTACAATACAGATAAAAATACTGAAGATACAGTAATAATATAAAAATTATACAAGTGGATAAACACACCTTCTTTTAAATAGAAACTCTTTAATTGTCAATTAATCTTCTGTATTTATAAGTGTGTTTCTCGTATATAGTCACCATATAAGGTGACTATAAACTTGGAAAAGTTTGATGTAGAGCTGTGGCTCTAGTGCGAGAGTGCTCACTTTGAGCAAGAAAGCTCAGGAACAATGCCCATGCAACAAATTCAAGTCATAGGACTGGAAAACAACAACAACAAAACAACAACAAACAATGAATATTAGTCCTTGAAAGTGATGCTTGATTTTATCCAGTAAGTTTACTAAAGTATAACAGCTATTCACTAAGTCATAGTCAAGATGTTGCTGTGAAAGAATATATTTTTGAATGAGAATAATGCTTTCAAGTAATAGAATTTTATTTTTATTCTTATTTTTTGCCAGTCATGGGGCTTGAACTCTGGGCTTGGGTGCTGTCCCTCAGCTTTTCAGCTCAAGGCTAGCACTCTACCATTTGAGTCACAGCACCACTTCGATTTTCTGATGGTTTATTGAGATAAGAGTCTCAGGGACTTTCCTTCCCCGGGTGGCTTTGAAACATGATCCTCAGATTTCAGCCTCCTGAGTAGCTAGGATTACAGGTGTGAGCCACCACTGCCTGGCTGCAATAGAATTTTAATAAAGTGGTTATTCTTCATTTTATAGGTAGTTTTGTTTTCCATCAGTTTTTCGAAGACCAGAGACAGATGTTTCAAGAATAAGAAATTCTGTCTAAATACTATGACAGAATCTTGCCTGGATTTCAACTTTACTGGCTTCCACTATGAATATTGGATTTCCCAGCTCTCACAATCAACCACTGAAAAATACATAATATATAGTATACATAAATATATACTACACAGTGTATATAAAATTATATTATAATAATTAACATCAGATTTACATAGCATATGAGTATATAAAGCATATAAATATATAATAAAAAATACAGATAAATGTTATATTTGTGTATATATACATATACATAAAGACTTATATATTCCCTTGTTTTTTGTTAATAAAGAAAAACCTAACATACCAGCCCATGCTATTATTTACAATGTTGCTCTCTCTGTCACAGCTGTGCAGTACTTGTTATTATTTTAGTATTTATAAGTTAATTTTTTCATCTACAACTCCAGAAAGGATGAAAGCAGGAGTTTTACCATACTTTTTCTGGGTTTCATAGAGATTTCCATTACCGTTCTGTGTTAGCCTCTTAAGACATAAGTTTAACTTCTTATTAGTCTATATCAATTGAACATTCCCATACATGTGAATAAAGCACTTAGATCATATTCCTTCTATTATCTTCTCTTCTCCTTCATGTAACTTCCTTTTCCCTACTACTATGCCTTCAATTTTTTTCAGATTCCGCATATGAGAGGAAACATATTGTGTTTGTCTTTTTGAGCCTAGCTTATTTCAGTTGACATGATTTCAACCTATATTCCTGAAAATGTCAACATTTTGTTTCTCTTTGTGGCTAAAGTATGTTTGTAATTATATTGTATAACTTGGCCTTTCTGTACAGTCTCCTAATAAATATGCGTGGTCAGAAATCTCTTTCATATGCTGACTTTGTTTCTTATAGGAACATTTATTCTTACAATGCCCTGATTCACAGTTCCTAGGCTTCCTTTCTTCCAAAGATTTTTATCTTCAGCCTGATCAGCTACCTCAAACATGGTTGTTTCCTAGGTCTTGTCATAATTACAATAGAAATATGTCTTATTCTCAATTTTAAGCCACCACTATCCAAACACTTTTCTTTATACCCTAACCCTTCTGTATATCATTTACAAAAATTCTTAAGTTCCATCAAGACTTAGAAACTTATTTTTGCTCTATCACTTTCTGATGCCTTTTTGTTTTTTCTTGGGAGATAAAAAAGTATAGCAACTATAACAACAAGGATGCTTTCTTATGACCACTCATAAATGATAATCACGTTCTGGTTTGTCATTCTTTTGTCCTATCTGGTCGCCATAACTTTCAACTCTATTGAAATCCAATTTATCATAACACTTTGCTGAATGTAACCACAGTCAGAGAAATCATTGTGTTGTTTTATTCTTACTTTAAAATTAAGATTAGTACCCTCAATAGGACTTAAAGATACATCTGCTTTGGACTCATTTATCTCTCTTAAATGTAAACCTTGCCCTAAGAGACTAGACTTTTACTTCTGTTTGAATTTGTTCAGTGAGGTCCACCAGGACACTGTGAATAGAAAAGAGGAGAGTGAAAATGAAGAATTTTCTTTCTTGGCTCCATCATTTAAGTTTATCTTGAGCTGTCTGTGTCTTTTCTACACAGTATTGATACATTTTGTGCAATATGTAGACATCTTCTCGTTCAAGTAACTTCTTTTTCCCACCTCTTATAATTCATTCTAATTGCTATTAGCAATACCCTGCTTTTCTCATGTCTTTCAGAATACTAGTGAATGCTAGCCTTTATTTATCATATTAATCATTATAGTTCACCAGCACTTCTGCATCTCCTTTGTATCCCAGTTCTTCATTTCTCAGTTGGAAACGTAACAAAAAAGATCCTCAGTATTGCTTGTCAATAATCCTTTTATTGAATTTTTTCAGATGATTGGCAGCTCCATTTTCTTATCTAACTTCAAATGAATTATTTTTCTCCTTTCTCAGTCCACGGTCTCTGAAAAAAATGAAAACCAAACAAATCTCTCACAATATTGAATTCAAGTTTTCTTACCTCTATCTACTCTATTCAAAATGCCCAGATGTATGCATCCTACTCGCACTGTCAATACTTTTTTTTATTATGGCTATTTTAATCATTAATGTGACACCACTGATGAGGCAAGATAGGAACTATCTGCTCTCATGAGCTGTGCTGGCCGGATCCATCAGTATTGTGCAGGTAAGGGTCTTATGAGTTTGATTTGTGCTCAATTCCCAGTTCTTAAGATAGTGTCCAGCAGATACTATTGATCAAACTATTGGAAAAATTAATTACTCTTAATCATTTAGTTGATAAGTAATTTGAAATAACATTCAGTAAATAAAAATGTGTTTATTTGAGTATGTAATTTAACATGAGCTTATTTGATTAGCTATTACTTAAAATATATGCTTTAAAGTTCTCAACATTATTGTGGAAATAAATTTCTCTTTTCAAAATTTATTTACTTGTATTCTTTGCTTGAGAAAAATCTAGGGAAACAGAATACTTAATTTTTGGACTACTTTAAATATACTAACTTATTTACCTGTGGATAGTAGCATACCTCTAAATAGTAACATTTAAACACAGCAGATATTAATAACTGGCTTATTTTGCTACTTTACATTATAATTAATTGACATATAGAATATCTTCTTTGAAATATAATTAATTGTACTTATTTTCCAATTAACACCAGCTAATTGAACTAAGACAATACAGAGTACTTAAGTAATGAGACAACGGCCAACTCTCCTGAGAATGATTTATATAAAAATTTATTCACTTCTTACAGTATTGCCAGCTTCTTAAATATTTGGCTGATAGCTGTCTTCCCTTTCCCTTTTCCTTTCCTTCCCTTCCCTTCTTTTTCCTTCCCTTCCCTTTCCTTCCCTTCCCTTCCCTTCCTTTTACTTTTTTCCTTTCTTTTCTCTCTCACCAACTGGCATGATTAGTGATAAGCATAGGCAAAGAAATCCGTGAAGGCAGAAAATACCTTGATTCAAGACTACAGAGATTTTCCTTACATTTTATGAATTCCACGGACAATAAGATCTCTTTGTTCAGTAAACTGTTTTCGTTCTTCAGGTAGCCAAGATATCCTGCAAGCTGAAAATCTGCATGCACTATAAACTGAGATTGAATGTGTTTATTTGCCTAATGAAAGCTTGTATACAGATATTTTTGAGTATTTGAATTTTTAGAATATAATAATATATGCTTAGCTTTAAATGAACAAAAGTAAATCCATTTTAAAACTTACCAAAATGTTCTTTGGATAGTAACAGTAACTGGGCAGCCTGCCTGCTTCAATTATAGTTTATAAGTGCTTATTGTGTGCAAAGTAATCTCCTTTCCCATAGCATAGGTAATAATATATATATTTTCCATATTTGGAAAGTGAAACAGGTACTTCTATACTAAACTAAATAATAGCATTTAATGATATCAGTGCAATACTTTTCTCAGGGTGAAGGAGATTTGCAGATGTGATTACATTAGAATGTTGCAATGGGGATACTGGGCAGGCATATCTTAGGGGATCCAAGGAAATCCCAGCGTCTGGACAAAAGGAAAGGACAAGGTACACAGAGAAGAGATGTTGGCATGACCAAGGGCCTGGTGTGACATATCCCTAGGGAAGCTGAGGAAAGCTGGATTCTCCCAGAATCTACAAAGAGACCAGGCGGAGAAGGCCTCCAGGAAAAAACCATCCCCCCATTCTCTTGATTATAGCCTTGTAAAATTCATTGTAGGCTTTCTACCTAAAATTATGAAAATATAAATTTGACTCATTTTAATTCACTGTGGTTGTTACGACAGCCATAGGAAATTATTATGTTCTTTTTTAAAGAAGTGAAATATATAAGTGTAGACATTTTAAAATGATTTGTCAGGCACTGGTGGCTCACTCCTGTAATCCTAGCTACTAAAGGGACTGAGATGTGGAGGACTATAATTTGAAGCCAGGCCAAGCAGAACAGTCTTGAAATTCATTTCCATGAATGAACCCATAAAATATTAGTCTGTAGGCTCGGCTCAATGGGTAGAGCACCAGCCCAGAGCAAGAAAGCTGAGCCAAAGCACTAGGCCTAAAATTCAAGCTACACATGCAACTCAAGTGATATAAACCCAAAGAAAAAAATGTGAGTGCGGCATCTGAATGTTTATAGATGTATGTGGCATACATGGGATAAAATATCTGTAATGGGTAAGAGATTTCAGGGGTAACTTGTCATCTCTTTGACCTCATTATGAGTAGGAAACTTACTCTGTCTGTTGTTTATTTCTTTGAATCTAGAAGAGCTTTACAACTCGTAGAATTATTAGTCTTTAGATCGTGTGCCTATGTTTATTAGAAACTAATTGTATACAATTTTCTAAAGTTATAGACATGATGATATTCATTGAGATCTGTAGTTTCCATGTGACGCCTCATAGATTAATAATATCTAGATATCAATATTTAAAACATAAAACCATTGAATCTATTCCAAGTTGTGTGTGTGTGAGTGTGTGTGTGTGTGTGTGTGTGTGTGTGTGTGTGTGTGTGTGTGTGTGTGTTTGTGTGTGTGCTGGTCCTACGACTTGAACTCAGGTGTGCTGACACTGAGGTTTATTTCACTCAAGGCTAGCTTTTTAGCACTTGAACCACAGGCTCAAGCATTTTTGGTGACTAATTAAAGAGTCTCATGGACTTTCAACCTGGGTTGGCTTTGAACCATATTACTCAGATCTCAGTCTTCTGAGTAGTTAGAATTACAGGCATTAATCACCAGCATACAGTCCAAAATTCTATCTTGAACTCTGTATTGTCTCTGTATTTTTTTTAACAGTACAAATGCCCAGACTGGAGAATTTAAAAAAACACAAACAAAACAAACAACAACAAAAAAAAAACAGAAAACTCTGAAAGAGTATATAAAAGCTATAAATTCTTAAATACACCACATAGGATTTTTATTATTGTATATTGTAGTATATACTAAGACCCAAGATAAAAATATTTAGTTCTAAATAAAGAAATAAAGCAAGCATTTACTATTTGAAATAAGGTATGTGGAATCGTTTTGTATAATACTTAAAAAGATATAATAATTTTATTTAGGCTTGATTACATTTATTTTTTTCAATACTGACTTCCTGACTTCCAGTTAACAAGTTGGGCTTGAACTCTGGGCTGGGCACATCCATGAGCCCTTTAGCTCAAGGCAAGCGCTCTACCACTTGAGCCACATTGCCACTTCCGGTTTTCTGGTGGTTAATTGGAGGTAAGAGCAGGGCTGGCTCTGAACTGTGATCCTCAGATCTCAGCCTCTTGAGTAGCTAAGATTACAGGCAGGAGCCACTGGTGCCTGGTAATTTGCATTTTAAAAGAAAACAAAATCAATGTTTCCTCTTAGTAATGATCAAATTAACAGTAGTTAATTTAATAGTACAAAAACTACAAATTATTTTTTATAACTGCAAGTTTGTTAACCTAGATCCATCCCAATGAAAAAGCCAGAATATTTCCCTATATACATTATTTCTTTAGTGTTGTGTGTGTATT